CTTGGCAACAAATAATACCTGGGAGCCACATTTGGTACTAATACGGTCCCTAGAGGGAACCATATTAGGAACAAAGCCCATCGCCTCCCAACCTGAAGGTGGAGTCAGAATTTGGCGCCACAAAGTTCAGTAACAACCACCCTTAGAAACACATAAAATCCCCCAAATGAACTGACCATATGTGCAACTCACTAGCAAGTCCCCCTTTGTCCACTTGGATGTGCACTTTTGCTTCTTTCATAGCAAGATTAGGGTGACTGCAGCAGCCACTCTCGGGCTCACTCCCTCATCCTGTCTCTAGGAACCTATGGCATAAACTCATTCTTTCTCTCTACTTAAATAAAACTTGCTTTTGCTGTCACCCTAACTAGCTCTTGCATTCTTTCCTGCACAAGTCAAGAGCCTGCAGGTCCCGGAACAAGCTGGGGCAGGGCCAGCCTCCAGCACAGAACCTGTTGGTGACGATACCATCCACACAGATGGTATAGGGGGCTAGGTATGGAGGATGGAATGGGGCTGAGTTCTACAAACAAACTACAAGAAAAGGAGAAACAAATCCTGGGCAGAGCATCAGGTGCAAAACAAAACCAAACCAGGATCAATAAAAAGCCAGAAATAGACAAGAAGAAAAGGAATTATGATAAGCTTGAGAAGGGAGTAAATTGGGAAGTAAGGTACAGAATGTTAACACAATCAGGGAAAAACTAAGTCTGTGACCAGCAACAGAGTATGGGCTGCTGACTAGGCAAACTGAAGGGAAGTGTGAGGACTTCAAGTACCAAGGAGGAAGGAGGGAATCCCAAATGGGATAAGTTGTCATCTTTTGCTTCAGAGACGGCCACAAGGAACAACTCTCCTAACTCACAAAGAAAACCAGAAGACAAAATTGATGAAGATATTCTAAAGCATAGAAAAGAGAAGGTAGTTTGTCCTGGAGATCTAGGTGCCTGTATTTAAGAATTGAAAATATAGGCCTCTTAACCTTTATTTTCAAAATAGACTATTGGTCTTTTTTAATTTAAAAAAAAATATTGATTTTTAAATGTATTTTTTTAGAGAGAGAGAGAGACTTCGATATGAGAGATATATCGATAGGCTGCCTCCCGCACATACCCCAACTGGGGATTGAACCAGCAAAATGGGTATGTGCCTTCACTAAGAATCAAACCCTCAACCTTTTGGTGTATGGACAATGCTCCACCCAACTGAGACACACCAGCCAGGGTCTTGCGATAAATTGGACCAGCCTCCAAAATCTGTTACTCTAGTTTCTAAATAAGAAAAACACCCTGACAAAACCTTCACTGTTGAAAAATAGGGCCCTTGGCCAGTCTTCTTTTGATTATATTTTTCTGTTCTTTTAAGAAAAAAATTTAAGGTTAAAACAACAACAGTGTAATAAAACAAGGTCTATAAAGTTGATAAAGCTACTTCACTTATAGAAATGTATTATTTCTGAAAAAGAAAAGAAATTGTACTTTCCCAGATGTTCATAATAATTATCCTAATAATTATTTCTGTCTTTTCAGACATGATGAAGTTAGCATGAGTAATCACTCTTATGAATGTTAACAAAACCTACAATAGATTTGCAAGAAAATAAAATGCACAATTAAAAATAACAACAACTATTAACAATATAACAGCATTGCTCTGTAAGCATTGTATAATTGACAAACATATAATAAGCATTTTCTTATATCTTATCCTATGTAATAAAAACCTAGTATGCAAATCGACTGAACAGCAGAATGACAGGTCGCTATGATGCACACTGACCACCAGGGGGCAGACGCTCAACACAGGAGCTGTCCCCTGGTGGTCAGTGCACTCCAACAGAGGGAGCACCCCTTAGCCAGAAGTTGGACTCACAGCTGGCGAGAGCAGCAGTGGTGGTGGGAGCCTCTCCCGCCTCTGCGGCAGCACTAAGGACCCCTCGGGGGATGGTCACCTGCTGGCATAGGCCCGCTCCCTGAGAGAGGGCACAGACTGGGATGAGGGGACCCCCCCCCACCACCACCACTACCAAGTGCACAAATTTTGTGCACGGAGCCTCTAGTATTTATTACCTTTCCTGTTGTCTTTTGTTCAAGAAAACACAACTTTGCAGGTGATTGTTGTCACCACGCTGATAACTTGAATTTGCCCTATTATATAAATCTAATGACCATTGTTTGTTTGTCTATTTATTTATTTATCTATCTCTAAAAATTAAAGATGTATTCATAGATAAGGAGAGAGATTTAAAACTTTAAAATTGATTGCATGTTGAAATGATAATATTTTGAATAATATATATTGTGAGGGAGGAGAAGGTGAGATCTGGTTAGAGGGAGCAAAGTGGGAGGATAAGTGATGGACATCCGTAATAATGTCAATAATGACCATTGTTTAAAAATAGTTAATTGTGATGGTATAACTTAGGCCATAATATTAATGGCTGAATATTTCTCTCAAAGTTTTGCCTTTTTCTGAGGAAGGAACACAATGAAATTTTATAAGACTTATTAAAGCAAATTGTGAAAAATATTAATACTTGTTTACTTTGGTTGACAGGTATATAAGTGTCATTAAATATCATTAGACTCTTTGCCTTAAGCAGCTCAAGAACTTGCACACAGAAATGTAATCACAGAAATGTAAACTAAAAACGTCACTGAAATATTCACTTTTAAGTATATAAAATATTTCTTGCGATCTACTTTACTGTATCCCTGTTGAATATAGATGCAAAAATTCTCAACAAAATACTAGCTAATCAAATTCAAGAATACATTAAAGGGATGATACACCCTAACCAAGTGGGATTTATCCCTGGGATACAAGCATGATTCAACATTACACAAATCAATACATGTAATTCATCATGTCAATAAATAAAAGATAAAAACTGCATGATCATCTCAAGAGATAACAAAAAAAAACCCAAACAAACATTTAATGCAATCCAGCATCCTTTCAGGACAAAAACTTAATTGATGGTGTAGAAGGAACATACTTGAACATAATAAAGTCCATATAGGACAACGCCTCACTAACAAAGCAAGGTTGCCCAACAGCAGCACTTCTACTCAATATAATACTACAAGTCCTAGATAGAGCAATTAGGCAAGACAAAGAAATAAAGGCATCCTGATGGGGGAAAGAAGCAACATTGTTGCTATTTGCTGATGATAGAATCTTTTATAGAGAAGATTCCCAAGAGTCAATAAAAAAAACTGTTGGAATTCTTCAATAAATTCAGTAAAGTAGCAGGTTACAAAGTCAGCTTACAGAAATGAGATCCTCGTTGATACATAAGTGATGTCTGAGAAAGAGAGGCCTAACCAATATAAACACCAGTCAATCAACCCACTGGTCCATCAAAAAAAAAATTTAGAGAGGTCTTCTTCTCTGTGCTGGGGGTGTTGAATGAATGACTGCTTGTCCCCACTGATCTAAGCATGCGCATAGGCCACATCTCCTTTCTCAGCTACTGCAGCAACTGGTTCCTTAAGTAATGAAATCAGAGACTTGAATTACTGTTGAGGATGAGCCTTGCTCACACACAAAACCACCAAGGAAAGGGGCAAAGAGCACCTAACAGTCTCTACACCTTTGCCAGCACACACACAAATGACTAAACCACAAAAGGCCCTCAACACAGAACAACTGCCTAAATTATTTGAACTCCTTTGATGAGAAAACAAAAAATTAAAAATGACATTTTCTTGAAGCTTTTTAACAACAACAAACGTTTGCAGGAGACTTTTAAATACCGATGCATTTCATTAAGTCTTTTTCACTACTGTTTTTTTTTAAATTATTGATTATGTTAGGTGTGCGTATAAACATGTATTTTAAAAACACAGGAAGTGAAAGAAGGGCTGGTAATGAGGCAATATAACAACAAAACAACTTTTGATTTATTTGGCTCACCATGCATTAAATATATTTTGTAAGAAAACCAGATTACATTATTTTACATGACTTGATGGGGGAGGCCTTAGCTCTGCAGCCCTTGGCCCTTCTCCCCAGTAAAGGGAACAATGAGAGATTTCTCAAGGCTTCTTTTGACAACTCAATGCCTTGGTTTTAGGATGCAATTTGTTCTCATAAAACTAAACCTGTCTCTATTTCCAGAAAGGCATTCCCTCTTGAAAGAGGCACTATTAGATGCTGTTTCCTTTCCCCACAAAACAATACTATTCCTTTGAATGTAGGAAATTCTAGCCCAATCCCAGAAAGCTACACACACACACACACACACACACACACACACCTATAAGCATACTCATTACTCTGTCTTAAGAAGCACAAACTTCCAGCTATAAAATAATATAAGCCATGGGATATAATTCACAGCATGGTGGCTATAGTTAATAACACTGTATTGTATATATAAAATTTACTAAAAAAGTAGGTCTTAAGAGTTATTATCCAGAGAAAATTAGTTTGTGACTATGAATGGTGGTGGGAGGTAATAAGACTTATCTTGCTGATCATTCGCAGTGTATGCAAATACTGAATCTTTAAGCTGTCCCCCTGAAATTGCATGACAAGTATGGCTCAATGAAAACACACACGAATGACCCTTTTCTTCCACTTAACTTTGCTGCTAGAATCTAGATGGGGTCACCCATTTAGCCTAGACTGAGTGAGGCTGGGCCCGTCTTTGAGCTGAAGTTTGGCTCTACCTGCTTCATCTTTTTAGGACCATAGACTACCTGGGGCATATGCTTTCACCCATCGGACAGAGACATAAGAGGACAAGAGATGGCAAGGGTCTGACAATATCTGATGAGATCCATTTCCTAGCATGGGGAATAGCCCTGTAACTTTTATTTTCTCAATTTTATTCTGTATTGGTTTCAGGTGTACAGCGTAGTGGTTAGACAATTGCATACTTTACAAAGTGTTCCCCTTGGTATTTCCAGTACCCTAACCGCCACATACATAGTTATCACAATAGTATTGACTATATATCCTGTGCTTTCCTTACTCCCTGTGACTATTTTGTAACTGTAAATGTGTGCTTCTTAGTCCCTTCACCTCCTTCACCCAGTTTCCCAATCCCCCTACTCTCTGGCAACCCCCAGTTAACTCTCTGTGTCTATGAGTCTGAAAAAAATGGAATTTTTTAGGAATCTGGGTGCCATCCTTGCAAAGGGGCCATGCTAATTGTCTTTGAATCATTCTATTTTTTTTTTTACTTTTAAAGTAAACTTGATTAAGGCTGTCGGCTGCCTCTTGCACACCCCATCACCCCGTCCCCGTACTGGGGATCGAGCCCACAAACCAGGGCATGTGCCATTGACTAGAATCAAACCTGGGACTCTTCATTCCTCAGACTGATGCTCTATCCACTGAGCAAACCCAGGTAGGGCTGTATTGTTCCAATTTTAGTATATGTGCTGTTGTAGCGAGCATAGTCCTGCAACTATTTGAAGGTTGAAAGATTTGCTAATAGATGTGCTGGGTACCACCAGGATGTCATCACCCATAAATTGAGGATGATGAAACCATCACTGGAGGATTGTTTTGGGATTCACCTATGAAAATGCTTCAAAAATGCATAACGAACCATTAAGTACAACATGGTTAGTCCTCTGTCCCATCTACTTCTCGATTACTTTAATAACAGCTCTGCAGTAGAATGTAACACATAGGACATTTCAGTTTCATTTGTCTTGTTACCTCTCAGTTGTTACTTATCACATGCTATCTATATATATAAAAGCCTAAGTGACCAGCCAACTGGCCAACCGGCCGAAAGGCCAGTAGCTATGACACACACTGACCACCAAGGGGCAGACACTCAATGCAGGAGCGGAAACCACAGGCAAGAAAACATGGAACAGCCTGATGAATCTCAGAGGGAAGGGGGAGGGGGGAGGACGGGAAGACATTAACTAAAGATCTTATATGCAATGCATACCAGAGGCCCGGTATATGGATTCGTGAACCTATGGGGTCCCTCGGCCTGGCCTGCAAGGATTGGGCCAAAACCGGCTCTCAGATATCCTCTGAGGGGTCCCAGATTGTGAGAGAGAGCAGGTCACTGCTGAGGGACCCCACCAGTGCATGAATCTGTGCACCAGGCCTCTGGTACATGAAGTAAAAGTATGTATTCAAATAAGCACATAATTGAATTCTGCCTGCATCATTTACTGGTTGTGAGATTGTGTTCAATTACTAGCATTAAGCCTTAAAGAAACCTTCTTAAAAAGCTGGCAAAATAATCCCTCCTCTCTCACAATTATTTTAAATAGTGAAAGGAGCAGTATTTTACTTGTAAGTCACTTAGCCATGCATCTGGCACATTAATGCATATAAAAACTACTAGCTCTCTTTTCTTCCAATTTAAAATTTGTATAACTGGAGAAATGAATAATTTGTCACATGCACGTTTTCAGGTAATAGCTCCAGTCATGCCCTCTCTGTATGTTAAATTGTGAATACTTTGAGTGGGTCTATGCTACAATATACATATTTTTGTTACCAGAGCTTCAAAATGCTAAAAATCAATAGATTTTTACTATGTGTTTTCTTTTCCACGTTTGTACACATTGGAAACCTAATGTCAGGTTATTGTGGGGCAGGGGGGAGAGGGACTGTCATGTAGTGATCAGGGAAAGATGCAAATCCATAAAATAACATCCTAATTCCATTAGATGCAATATTATGCCAAGGAAGGTGTAACGGGTTGCAGTTTTAACAGCAATTCATTCCGAATGGCACTCTGGACAATCCCAGGATGTGGACGACATATGCTAAATTCCTCCGGGTGCAGTGAGAGGGGCGTATGTGCTTGTTCAGGATGTGCCAGGGTGTAGGCAACATATGTATTGGATGATTTCATAACTCACGTGCTCTCAGGGGAAGGGAGGGGATTGCATGCAGAAAGATCTAGTCTGAAAGAAGAGTTTGCCTCCTTTCTCATACAGTTGGAAAAAGTGATAGCATTGAAAGCACACTTTAAATTCATTTTCTCACCCAGAGGGCACCTCAGAACAGAGTTTGGAAACTCCTAGCGTAGAGGAAGAAGCACGGATTTGTAAGTCAAAGGAATTCTTCTCCTGTTACGATCACACTCCAGTTCCTTCGCCTCTCTAAGCTCTCATTTTCTTCCCAATCGAATGTGAATAGTGAGAGCATTTTTTACAGAACTGTTAAAATAACTGAATCATAAGAATGGGAGCCAACATGTATTGAGAGCTTACCATGTGACAAGAACTGCTGGAAGTATTTTCCATGTATGATCTACTTTTATCCTCAGGAAAATTCTATGAAGTAGGTACATTATTTTCTCTACTTTCTTCCTATCTGCTTTACCACACCTTCCTCTCCTTGTCATTCATTAGAGAAGACTCCCAAAGTAGCAACATCAGTGTTTGGTAGAGTTGGGGTTTAACCACAGGCAACTCGTCATCAAATCCCTCACTGGGCCCCATTAGCCTCTATGTGTATACTTAGTAGCGAATTTACAAAGCCCTGGATCTGGAACATTCTCCGTGAGAGAAAATTCTCTCAATGTCTACTTTATGCCAAATAAGTATGGCAAATAGTCATCATTGCCATAAAATTCTTACCGACATTCTACCCAACAAAGGCACATATTTAAATATCCTAGTTCCATGTCATGTTTCAAAAACCTCTGAATATTGATGAAATGATATTTGATGTGGAAATTGTGTTAACTGCACTCAAGTTCTACATTTTTATCCACTTTTATGAATATCCTGAATATTCCCATGTTGCAAAGAGTCGATCCTTCTTTTTACAGAGATGAAGGTGAGGATTTTTATAGAGATAAGACAGGAGAGCCACAAGACACCATATTACAGAAAATAAAGTTAGCATCTGTCACTCCTCGTTGTATTTGACCCCTTTACAGAGATGAAGGTGAGGATTTTTATAGAGATACAACAGGAGACCCACAAGGACACCAGATGACAGAAAATAAAGTTAGCATCTGTCACTCCTCATTGTATTTGGCCCCTCGATGGTCTCAGATAGAGCGGACTTCTGCCCCTGTGCACAGGGATGGTTTTAGGTTTTCTCCTGCACCCCCACATTTTCTGTCCCTGTCCCCATTACAGATCCTCTCCTCACACACTTCCTTTACATGTTCGCCTTTCATGGTGGCCGGACTGAGCCCTCCTTTCCAGTTCACTCTCTAAAACTTACTCAAACTGGTGTCACCAAATAGCCTCCAGACACCATGATGGCTGCAGCCCAGGTCTCACCTCTGACATGTGCACACACAGCATCACAATTGACTAGTCCACCCTTCAGTCTGGTGGCTTGAACACATGGGTCAGTGTGCGTGGTGGCCAAATGGTGTCACCTAAATGTGTTGGGTTGAAGATATGAAGAAAAGTTCATGGGGAGAGTATATATAGTAAAAAAAATTTGAGTTCGGATTAAACTGGAGAACCTACGGTTATTTTTTCTTTCTCTCTTTTCCATCCCTTTCCTCCCTGCCCCTCCCCTATCCCTCCCTTTCCACCTTTTCCTCTGCCTTTTCCTTTCCCTTCCCTCCCCTCTCCCTTCTCTCCTCTAATTCCAATCACTTCACTTGATATTCAGTCTCTTCAATGACTTCGGACAAGGCAGGAATTAGTCGCCTATAGACTACTCTAAAGGTTTCCAAGTCCCATTCTTTTCCTTCCCTTTAAGGATGAGGACAGGCGACCACTCCTAAAATGACTTCCGCAGGCTAAGAAACCCAGCACCGGCACACATTCCTACCCCCTTCTCTGACTTACTGTGGTTCACTCCCTTCACCCCCAACCGCACATCAAGCTTTCCGCCAGCCTACCTTGTCCCTTTAGAAAAGTTGTCTACTTCTAATCGCAACTCAAGCTGAGTTAAAGAAAACCTTCCCCCCCTCTCCCCTCCCCCAGCCCCCACTTTTAGTACTTGGGAATTCAAAGACAATCTTTGAAGTCATCTAGTTTATGTCCCTTCACAAACTAAATCTTTCTTGACATCTTTCCCCCTCCAGAGCAATGAATATTGAAGTCCCACTTAGCCCCCTCCCGCCCCTCACCCCAGAACCTATTCATTTCATTGTCCTGACTCCAAGCTGAGTGCAGAACTGGATGCGGTATTTGCTTTTACTTTTATGACCCAAACTAGGCCCTTCAACATAAAAGCATCCTGAGCTAAGTGAGTCCAGGGAGATGGAATTCACCTGCGAGCTCAGACACATTGCCTACACTCAGGAGCTTGTGTCACTCATTGCTGTTATCAGAAAGAGAACTTCAATGCCTCAAAGCCTCTCCCAGCCCCGCTCTGCCACTGGTATTGAGGGTGAGGTAAGTGGCGGGGATAAGGCACAACTGGAACAGTCAGACTTGGGAATCTGTCACAACAGCTTTAGGAGGTGAGTCGGGGACCACAGGGGTGACTATGCATGAAAATCTCAAATGCCAGGAGAACCCGCCTGTGATCACCAGTGTAAGGAGAAGGTACAAATCGCCAACTAGGGTTTGAACTGTGTTTATTGCAGGTGTTTTTCCTGCAAAAGGCATGATCCTAAGAAGGGGTGGGCAAACTTTTTGACTCAAGGGCCACAATGGGTTCTTAAACTGGACCGGAGGGCCGGAACAAAAGCATGGATGGAGTGTTTGTGGGAACTAATATAAATTCAAAGTAAACATCATTACATAAAAGGGTATGGTCTTTTTTTTTTTTTAGTTTTATTCATTTCAAAGGGGCTGGATCCGGCCCGCGGGCCATAGTTTGCCCACGGCTGTCCTAAACGAATACATTCAAAAGGCTATGCACGAATACCAGATGAATTTCTAGCATTTCCCCCCAGCCCTTTGAAGGAACATAACCACGTGAAAATAGGAAATGCTCCTTTCCAGGAAGTTACACTGTGGTTCTGGTATCTTAGGTACCACTGGATGTGATACAGTTAATGAGAAGATGAAGCCCTGACTACAAGGCCCCCTCTTCCTTTGTTCCTAATGAACATTGACATTAGTGCTCAATTAACAATGACACGTATAATCACATGAGCCTTTGCTCTGATTCCAACTCAGTCCGCCTGGACCAGAAGGAGACCCCCCCTGGGTGATCAGATCAAAGCCCCTGTGCAGAGTGTCTTTTCAGAGCAGGGCAGAGACAAATTAATCATATTTATCTGATTTGAAGTAGCATGGTTGAAGGACCACAGGGGAAGAGTCAGGGGCATGGAGAAGTCAGACTCTAAACAGGTTTATGTCACGAAGAGACAAGGTCTCGTGCTAAGCAATATCTGTTTGCAGTTATCTGCTTCCTACTTTTTTCCCTCCTATTAAAAATTAAATGAGCACTTCTCTTTTTTCATAACAGATATAAAAAACATTCTTCGGTCATGATGCTTAGCACGTTAACTACACTTACATCACTATAACTTTCTCTGCCTCTTTATACATTTTTTGAGTTTTTTTCTTTCCACCCTCTTTGGGGAGCTCTTAGGGGGGAACTTTTGCTAATAATTAATGAGAGGATTCTCTTGAGGAGACCATTTGAAATTGTTACGCGATTCTGATAAATTGTCATCTTAGAATCCTTATCAGCAAAATTCGGATTGGAGATGGTTGCATTGGCTCATTGCATCTGGATGGGCTGATATGTAAATGTAACGGATTCTGTCGTCAAAAGCCAACATAAAGCAATGCGTATACATTCTTGTAGAACAGGATTTGAGAGCTCGTGAACTTTGAGGGAGAATCTGATACTGAGATAATCAAAGCGCATCTTGCAATCCAGGCATAAAGTGGTATGTTAAACTCAATCGCTCTTTATTCTTTCATTAGACTCTGCCATGGCTGGTTCAAACATCTAAGCTCTTTCAACAATGTCACAACGCCATTCAAATCATGTCAGTGTTTATCTCTGTCTGAAACATGTGAGAGCAAAAAGCCACTGCCATCCAGAGAGCACCGGCTATTGTACACGGTCAGCAAAGGAGTCCCCAGCAATCCATGGGATGGTGACCAGCTGCAAATCACCCAGAGGTTTAATGAACGGCACCGGAAACCAAGGCCAATCTGCAGTGGACAATCCAACCAGACCCATTCTCTCTCGTTTTGGTTAAGAATAGCGTCCTTGCCGAAACCGGTTTGGCTCAGTGGACAGAGCATCGGCCTGCGGACTGAAAGGTCCCAGGTTCGATTCCGGTCAAGGGCATGTACCTGGGTTGCGGGCACATCCCCAGTAGGAGATGTGCAGGAGGCAGCTGATCGATGTTTCTCTCTCATCAATGTTTCTAACTCTCTATCTCTCTCCCTTCCTCTCTGTAAAAAATCAATAAAATATATTTTAAAAAAAAAGAATAGCGTCCTTTCCAACCTGTTATTAATGGTAGGTTCCCATGTAATACCAATGGCAAACTTTATGTCCAAACATCATTCCATGGGATCTTAACAGCAGGTTACTCTGCAGCTCTATTTGGAATGAGTAAGGTAAGCTAGGAGTCGCCTAATCTCCTTGCATGATAAAAACGTGCAGGCAGTTTATTGTTTACTTATTTTGTTGGTTTCTGTCTTGGCTCAAACTCTACCCATAGAGGGTCTGATTTAACTGTGGGGTGGACTGCTGGCATCTGTGTTTCTAAAGCTCCACAAATCATGCTATATTGCAGCCACGCAGAGAGAACCACTTTGAAGTTGATAGAATGTTTTATTTTCTGTGCCTCAGTTGAGCCTAAGTGAGCCTAATATTAGGCCAAAGGGGGATGCATTCCTCACCTCTGAGATAAGACAATGTTAATATGAACACCCATCCACATCCATGCATTTATTCAGCAAATATTAAATGAATACCTACTGTGTGCCAAGCATGTTCTAGATGCCTCCAATATAGCAGGAAACCAAACAGACAAGACTACTGTCTTCAGAGAGCTTGTCACCTGGTGGGAAAGACATAGAGTAAACTAGTCAACAAACCAATGAATTAACTGTCCAAATCATCTCCAGAAAATGGACAGTGCTGTGAACTAAATACAACAGTTTGTGAACCTAGGAAGGGTCTGGGACATGGGTCTGCTGTAGAGAAGAGAGCCAAGGAAGGCATCTGAGCAGAATGACATTTGAGCTGCAACTCGAATGATGGGCAGGTGCCAATCAAGCAAAAGTCTGGAAGAAATCTCCCAGACTGCAGACACAGCTGCATGCTCCCTGAGGTAAGGCCTGGCTTAGTGTATTAGAGCAGCAGTTCTCAACCTGTGGGTCGCAGCCCCTGGTGGTCAAATGACCCTTTCACAGGGGTCGCCTAAGACCATCCTGCATATCAGATATTTACATTACGATTCATAACAGTAGCAACATTACAGTTATGAAGTAGCAACAAAAATAATTTTATGGTTGGGTCACAACATGAAGAACTGTATTTAAAGGGTCAGAAGGTTGAGAACCACTGGTATGAGAGGAACAGCTTCGGAGACCAGTGAGGCTAATGGGAGGGAGCAGAGTGGACAGTAGTGGAGATGGGCCTAGGATGAAGCTGGAGACCTATTAGGCAAAGCCTTTTCGAGTATGGGGAGGAGTTTGACTTTTGTTCTCATTTGTAATGGGAAACGTTTTGGCATTAAGTAGGGAGGTCATTAGAATCACTTTGAATCAAGGTAGGAGAGAAAGACCTTAAGAGGTGGACCCATACTTCTCTATTACTAACCACAAAGAAAGGGCTGGGTATAAGCTGAAGAGGTTTTTGTCTGAGCTTCCGGCTTTGTGATTTTTATTTCCAACATCCTCAGAACGTCATTTATTTTTCCTCTGTCTGTCCCCTTTAACAGCTCATTAAAAACAAAAGCATATGAGGGAATCCCAAAATTTACATACCAACCAATCACTCTTATCTTCTGAGTTCTTAATATAACTATTTTCAGCAAGAAAATAACCCTTCTGCCCCAACCCACATGCTTTGCGATATTTCTCGTACGTAATTGAAGAAAACTAAAATCAGGTATTTCTCCATTGTAGACACAGTCAGGAGATGATGGGGGGATGAGAGCAGAGTGGCCATCTCAGAAAAGATGGAGAGAAGTCAAGCAGTGTTGTCAGGATCTCCCCGAGTTTTAAACCCATTTAACACCAGACAGCCCTGAGAGGCAGGTTTTTCTATCTTCAATTGACAGAAGATCCCACAGCTACTAGGAGTGGATATAGTATTTGAGCCCAGAAGATTCTTTTTATTCCAAAATCAATGCTATTAACCAGTTTACTACATTTTCACCTGCCAGTTGTTTTGAGCTACAGTGTGATCATGAAAGTATCTCCAGGGGAAAGAAGACAGAAAAGTCCACCTCATGGACGTCACTTTCCTCCTTCTCACAACCCCAGGGACCACCTCACTCACAGATTCCTAGAGCAATCTGAGATACATCGAAGTGGGATAGTAGAGCCTGCCACCTCCCATTCTACAAGCAAGGAAACTGAGCCACACAGCTTAGTAAAAGCAGAATCAAGTCAAGAAATCAAAGCTCCTCACTTTTAACACCCTGGGCTGCCCTGGGCTCTCCTGGAAAGGATACATGCTTCAACTCAGACTTGTCTCAACCAAAGGACTGTCAGTGCCAGGATGATGATCTGGGAATCTGTTTCCTGCTGCTACAGTGGAATCATTAACACACACAGATCCTGATCTAAGCATATTAGGATTCTCTACAATCTCCACTCTATAAGGATTGGAGCTATCCCAGAGCTCCAGAATATCCAATGTTTAACCATATAAAGAGTCAGGGGAACTATGCTTCTTCAATCCACAATACTTATACCTGCCTTATCAGATTCATAACTTCTTCATGCTGTTATTCTCACCTAGAATGCCCTTCTGGTTTTTGTTTGCAGAGAGTACGGCAAAGCAAGCATGCTATCCAGGACTCTGTCATTATTTTATATCGTACTAGAAGCCCAGTGCGCAAAATCGTGCAGCGCCGCCCACCCACACCGGTCTTTGGTCGTATGGAGTTAGGGCCATGGGCTTTTTATATGTATAGATGTTACATGGTCTTGGCCAAAGGCAATTAATAATTTCTATGACATAATCAACCTTTCTGCCTGCATGAGGCACAGTCATTCATTCATTTTTCAAATTATCTGTTTAGGGCCTTTTATATGTCAAATAGAGGGTTAGGAATTTGGAACATTAATCCAAAATTCAGGGGGACGATTAATAGGTAAGCAAATAATTATGAATAATTTGATAATCCTCTGGAAACCAATGAAGACATGTTGAAGCCAGTAAGTATTTAAACAAATACAGTGTGTCAAAGTCTATTTATATTGAAATTCTCTTCTGGGCTCAGATGATGTCCTTCTGTATGACATTGCTTTATATACCATTTATTTATGCAACCTATTGAATAACAATTTGTGTTATCTTTGTATTTCGAAGTACAGTTATTTAAAATGTCATATATTTATATCTCATGTTCTGAATGAATCTTTGAGAAGAGGCATTGTGTCATATGTGTGTGTATATACTCTAAAAACAACTTATAAAATAAATATTATTATAAATGTTCATTTTTTTGTTTTTATTTGAAAGTACACCACATAATTCACCAAACTTTACATAAAATTGCATATCTAATAAACTTGAACCTTTCAAAAATGATCTGAATCACTTATAATTCACAAATATGATTTTCATCTCACAGAAACTTCGATCTGGCTGGTATTCATAGCTATAGATTTTATTTTCCCTTTTTAAAAAGTGTATCTACAGTACATGATAAATCCATTGGTTTAACTGCATTATCTAAGGATCCTGTCTCTATATAATGTAATCTCCAATCCCCTTTCAAAAGTGTTAATCACAACTTAGCAACCAAATTACAATCTGAATATAGGGACAGCCAATAACTTTATTGGAAAAAATCTTGCATGCAAAAACAATGCTGTAAGAGAAAAATAAAGTACCTTATTTTTGTTTATTCTAAAAAAAATTAAAATTCTTGACATTGAACCCTTCCCTCTTCCATGCCAGGTTCTTCCAATTGGGATTTTATTTGCCATAATTGCATTCTATGAATGTTTGGAGTAATTGCTTACATGTGTCTGCCAATATAAGTCACCATAATTGCTTTATAACAGATTGTGCTTAAAAAGAGAATCACAAAAAAACTCATGTTATCTACCTCTATATTTGAAATTAACTATCATAGGCCAAAACTGACCACCATGCTCCCATAGATTCTCAGGCCATGAATTTACTATTTACTACAGGATAAAGTAGTAATCAGTTGTCATAATTATGACTGAACTATAAAACAATATCTTTGATTTTTATAAGAATATTTTTTATCAATGGCAGCAAAAATTCTAGAACACAGGGATTCCTGCTCTCTGTATTTTAACTATGTTAAAATAATCTGATGGTGAAGTAAAAGGGTGGACTTGGATTCATTTCTACTTATTCTTCCCCTAACTGCAGGAGAGATTGGGTTAGTGTCCACTTGCCCTGACTCCCAGTCTCTCTTTCAATGTGATCACCTTCTGAAAACAAATGCATAGTGCCTGACATAGTCCTGGTTTAATTTAATATATGCCATATCACCACTTTTTTTCTGATTAAAATGAGGAGGTGCCTGGCTGGTGCCTCAGTGGTTGAGCCAGGAGGTTACAGTTCAATTCCCAGTCAGGGCATATACCCAGGTTGTGGGCTTGATCTCCAGTAGGGGGCATGCAGGAGGCAACCAATCAACAATTTTCTCATAATTGATGTTTCTATCTCTCCCTCTCCCTTACTCTCTGGAATCAATAACAATATATGAATGATAAAATGAGAAACTGTTACTAGATCTACTTAACCAAACCCATGTGGGCACATCTCTATTCAAGGTCATGGCCATAAATAGAAAGTCATTCTCTTATAAGAAGTATTCTTTAAGTTATTTGCAATATTCTATGTAATACAATTTGAAGCTTCAAATACAACTTTTCACTGAACTATCACAAAGGGTTAAGGATGAAGTGATATAAAACAATATTTCCAACACTTTCAACTTCATTTTGGCATTGCCTTCTGAACCTTCCACATTTTCTTTCTTTCCTGTATGGAGTAACTTATCAAGTGGTCCTGTCATGAGCCAGTAGAATTACTAAGAGCTTTCTGATTTCATAGCTATTTTTTATTATATTTGAGAGCTCCTCTTAAGTAGAACTAGAACTCCAGGGCCACTATTTTAGAGTAGTAAAGATTGACATCTAAATTATGATCTAAGGAAAGTACCAGGCCATAGCTTTCATTGAATGCGGAAAGAAGTAAAAAATGGATGTGTCTCTGAAAATGTTGCTTATTGGATGTCTTTGAGAAGTTTTCTAGCATATTAAATTCCAAATCTCAGCAATGAAATTATAATGGATATTTGGCTTACAACTGTTACTCCTAGCTAATTTCCAGTTAAAGTTCTTAAATTTAGCTTTAAGTGATTCTCTCTTGTCCTGAGGAAAATATGCTGGCATATGATTTAAGAGGCTATGAATTTCTAGATTTCTTAATTTACTGTTGAAATAGAGTAGGGGAAATAATGTTCTTATACTCTTCTCCAACTTAGGTGTCATGGGACATAGACACACACACACACACACACACACACACACACACACACACACACACCTCACCATTCAGGGTCATTTTCTGTGTGCATAAACTTTCATGAAGTCAAATCTTTAACCAATAATAATATTGTCTAGGTTTCTTTCTTTAACATTAGGTATTGGGACAAATAACTGAATTGTGCCAATTAAAGAAGCATCACCTACATATTACTTCATCGTTACTTGTAATCTGATTCATTACTTATTTTGGAGACATCTTTTATTTCTGTTAACTATCACAGTAGCCTACATGACCATTCATCCTTGCCTGGAATATTCTAGGTTTTTGCTTTTGTCCCTGCAAAATGATTAATGTTCATCAGTACTAAAACTTGTACTCTCAAAAGTGACCTGGTTTTGTCATCCTAAATCCTAAATACTCAGTACTCTAACTATTGATAAGTATATCATTGTATTTATTGTTACAGTGCTACTTAACATTCTTAAGTATAATTATCGTACAGCAAAAATACTATTGGCCTTGATTACAGTTGAGGCATAATGCAAAGATGAGAGTGGTTTCAGAGGCAAATAAATATATTCCGTTCTAAGTATTTCTCTGGTTCACAAAAGACAAGATAATATCCTCCAGGTTATTTGCTAGTTTTTTATGTCTCTATAAGCAGTCCTGGTAGTAGATCGCCCTATGCTTCTATTATCTCAATTGAAATATATATTCTTAGACATTATTATCCAAATGCAGTGATTTTCAACTGCTGTGCTGAGATGCTGGTGTTCCACAAGACTTTTTAAAACATGCGACATCTAACTATTTAGTGAGAAGCACTGACTTCTTTTCCTTAGATTGTCAAATAAAAAATGACAATAGCAAAATTATTCCTATATTTTTGTCAGATCAGCAAAAACTGTAATATGTATATATACTTTGGCATGCCCCAGAACTTTAGTAATTAGTGTATGTGTGTCTTAAGATGAAAAAGGTTTAAAATCGCTGTCCTGATGTATAATAGAGTATAGCTCTATTTTCTAAGCCTGTCTTGGCAATGTGGCTTGCTATGCATTCAGAAATATTTGAAATGTGAAATTAAACAAAAGAAGCATGCAGATATCAAATGACTGCATTAAAAAAGTCTTTGGCACTTTATATGCAATTAAAATATTTCTAAATATATCTAGCATATTTCTGCTTCCAATTAAAAAAAGAAATATAATTGGTGGCATTTTATTTCATTTTCTATAAATGATATTCATCTAGTTTTTACCCCCTGAGAACCTACAATTACAATTAGTTTATATATAATGCCATAGTTCATAAAATATGCCCTTTAATTTAACTTATTAGGACTTTGACGAAACAGCTCAAAAATAAACAGACCCATTTTTGCCATTTAAAAAAAAATGATTTCTCTTAAAAAATATAGATTGGAGGGGGTCATTATGGATTCCATTTAAACCAGAATCAATCTCTTTGTGGTGAGTAAAATGTCCATTTATTATTGAAACCTCACCAAAATGAACTGAAAGCAGAGATGTGGGAATGCGTGTATAATCTGCAAGATCTCTGGCAGAAACTATCAGTTAAACACTTTATTATTTTATAATGAAAAAGACACTATCACAAATAGGTCAAACATTCTCCTGTCCTTGCATTCTTTTCTCTGTTTTTGTGATGGTAAATGCAGTGCTGTTATCTTTGGACAGGATGACAGCTTCAGGCAAGAGATACCACCCCAGGGACTAGCACTTTAATTTAAAAAGCCAAGAGGAAGAAAACAGAGGAGGAAATCAGGCAAGGCAAGGCTGGAAACAAAAGCTGCGTATCACCATGGAAAGTTGGACAGAAAGCGCCTGCTAATCTCAAGCAGGTTGCAGGTCGTATGTTCAATAGGAAAACCAGAAGAAATGGAAATAAATGGCAAAACCTTCCTTGTTGAGGAGTTGAGGACAATCATTTGGCATTGGATGACACCCAAGTATTGCTTTCTGGAACAGATACATAGGTATGGGCATTCAAGGTTCTCGCTCTGTGGGTAGAAGCAACTACTTTCTCTAACTTTCTATAAATGTATAGGACAGGAGTAGGTGTCTTCTATTCCTTTGTCAATAAAAAGCATGTCCAAACATCTAAACACAGGAAGAAGACACAGAGATATAGAGACAGAAAGTCATGTTCTAATTCTAGGTGTGAAAGCAGATTATTTGGGGACCCAAAGCAGTACTCAAGTGCATGAGATCTTGATACTGGACCAGGAACTCTTGAGAGCACATGCATAGTCACGTTGCTGTCCCTGCTGTCCCCAGGCCTAGCCCACGCTTGCTGGTTCATTACTACTCACATAGGCTCCTTGAACTGAGCCACTGAAAGATATGATGGAGAAAAACTTGGAGTGCTCTGGGAGGTTTAGGAGGGACAGGACGATGCTACTCAAAGGTAGAAACTCTTCCAGCTTAGTCTTAAAGAAGCAAACACTGACTAAGTGTAGAAGGAAAGCAGTATGTGTGGTGACTGAAAGGGCAAGTGCTATGCTCTCCATCTTGCCCCGTATCCTCCATGTTGGGGTAGCAGCCATGTGCTCAGGAAAGTACCTTCTTCCCGGAAGCCCAAGCCTCTGCTAGCCACGCCCAGGATTTCTTTAATCTAACCAATGACAAGACACCTACTTGCGCCTGGCCAATCGGCAGGACCCACAGTCACCTCTCCACCCACCTATAAAACTCCTCTTCCCATCGGGCTAGCTCTCTCTCTGCCACTTGGCTTACCGTTGCATCGGTGAGTGTGGTCGGAGAGCCGAACTAGTTCGAATAAAAGACTCTCTGCTTTTGCATCTGACATGGCTGGCTCCCTGGTGGTCTTTTGGGGATCCTGAAATCTGGGCATAACAGTGACGTGAAACTTGTGTGTGTCTAAGTGCATAAAACAGAAAGGGGGGAAATAATAAATGATGAGGGGGAGGATACAATGACTATCATGATGGCGATGATGATGATAAAACTGTCAACATTTAAAATTCCTATTGGCTTCAGTGACTGTGTGAAACTGTTCACAACATTAGCAACCGCTCATTAATCTTCATAAAAATCCAACGGAATCAATGCAATTCTCAGGACAAATTGTCAGTATTTTTAAAAGCCTGGAGGAGAAATCTCAATGTACTTACACCGGTTAAATAAAATCACATCTTTCAAATTTGAGGGAAGAAATGATATCAATCCAATATGGAAACTCTGGTTATCTGTCTTATGGTAATTGAATGTTCTGGTGATAGATGTATGTACATGCTTTTGAAAAATCAGAATGGGGAAAAGTAGACATTGATTTAAAACACAGTTCATTTGCTAGACAGAAATAAAACATGAGTTTATAAAAAAGATCTCTCATGGCGAAACATTTGAAAACATAAATTCTATATAAACATTTTATTTTATAATCCCAAATTTGAAATAAATTAAGAGGCCTCACAGATGAACATGACGCTGGACCCTAAATTTGCTGACTAGCATCCATGTTTTCTATTCTCTCGGTTTTACAACCAGAAAAAATTGTCTTTTCCCCCACTCCAAGTTCTTAAATCAATTGTGTAGGTAATTGTTTATGATGTAGTCAAGGAAGTTAATTAATTTTATTTAATATCTGAAATGAAGAGGCCTCCTTCATTTGTGTTCTCCTTTGTTACAAATTAGCAAAGTAACAGCCACTTCCAAGTACTCAATATCTTCACTTCAGAATTCAGCTCCCCCTTCTCCTCCCTTAGACAATATTGATTCTCCCCTATTGCAGCCTACCTCTTCCTATGTGCAAGGTTAACATGCTACTCTCTGCTGCCCTTGACTCTGCTTCTCAGAAATGTGATGCTTACTGATACAACTTCTATTTTACTTTAATTAATAATATTTAAGATTAAGCCCTAGCCAGTTTGGCTCAATGGATAGAGCATTGGTCCACAGACTGAAGGGTTCCAAGTTT